AATAAATAAATTTAGTATCCTCCTTCCCGACCTATGACCTGTTTTAATCCTTCCACTCTGCAACGACGTTATAAATTGAGTCTCATCTGCTTGCCAGTTGACCAGTCAGGTGATTAAAAAAAAGCTGAAATAACAAATGAAATGTTTACCCAATTCTTTTAAGAATTTCTTTTAGCATTTGTGAAGATTGGCCATCTTACACATGAAAGATATTGATATTTGATTTTTTTGCAGAAATGGTTTTGAGATTCTTAAAATATCCTTAAGTGCACCTTCTCATCAGAATTAATGTACCTGTTGTCGATTTCAAGCTTGCAATTTAGAGTTTAAAAAAAATCTGCCATTACAAAATATAGCGGAATTTTATTGATCATTAAGAAGTATGAAATGTGTCATATTTGTTGCTTGATTTCTGGAAGGTTTATGTTTTAAATGCTACTTAAAATCAAATAAAACCATTTTTTCGGATACATTCACTTAAGAAAAGTCTCAAATAAACAATATAAAACGAATATTGAAAACCATAAAATCAGGTGCAAAAACTGGTACTCCTATTAAGCATTGGTAACTTCATAGGAATTATTATTTTCCTGTCTATGTGGCAAGCTGCTTGAAGCAGAAATTAAGAGACACAGGACTTTAAGAAACTACGTCACAATATAATGACTATTAATGAGCCTATGTTTGAATATTTCAACTATATTTCAACAGAAGTCCTGCTTATAGGAATTATTACTGTTTTGCTCTGTTGGTATGTATATTTTTATTCATGAATGGTGTTTAATTGAAATTTACAGAATCTTCGAGGTACTGCTATTTTTTGAAGAGAATAAACAATATTTTAAATCAGAAAAGCAGCATTCATGGCAGGCAATGAAAATATTTTTAGCAATATAAACTAGCAATTTGTTTCCTGTTCAGCGGTCAAAATGTATCATTGCTTACATTAGTGATAGATAAAACAATTTAGGCTTTTGCTCTATTGCTCTAAATATTCAATCCTCTCCGGCATTTATACCAGTTAAACTGACATAGTTTCTAATAATATGCATCCATAATTTTTTTTCCTCGAAGATATAGAAATAATAAAGAGAATAAATCATGAGTAAATACAGCTCTCGGTTTCTTACTGTGTACTTAAAATTTATAAAAGTTGTTTCATTCCTTTTGATTAAAATTAATGATTTTCTGGTAATGTGTTATTTTTTCCAGTACTTTTATGTATCAAAAGTTTTAGGTGAAATATTTTATTTTATTTCCAATGTCTGGATCAGTGAGTAAAAGTACAGGAAAAACAAAATTTGAACAAGGAAATTAACAGCAACAATAACATATAAAAGTTCATGAGATAGCAAAAGGTTTTTGCCTTATAATATCTTTCGTCACCCCCCCATTATTTTGATAATGGGAGGCGAGAGATGGAGAAATTCACAGGTATGCATGCGGTATTTACTGTTTGTCTAAGATAGGTACTCTGCCATACATTCGTCTGGAGCTGTGGCAGTTACTATGGTAACGAGGTATGATTATTTTAAGAAGGGGTGCGGGGTCCCTCTTTTGAGAAAAAAGGAGACCTCTTTATCGAAGCTACCCTTCCTAAAATGCCCTCTTCTTGTTTTCATAGGACCAGACTGCCGCAGACTTAGTGGTGGTCAGAGTACCTATCTTAGACAAACAGTACTCTATTTTTTTGCTGTACAGGGGGCAGGCAGTCTCACGCAGAAGGCAAATGCAAAAAAATTGCACTTTCCCTTTAAGTAAATGAAAAGCTGCCACTACTTCCCGTCTAGGTTTGTGAGGAATGTCTAGTAGACTGTTATTTCTTCCATATCTGGTTTCTGTTTTAACCAAGTATGCAGATTAGCGTGTCAACAGCATAATTTGGTTAATAACTAGTTCAGAGGAGTGAAAAGATTTTTTGTGTGTTTAGTACAGTGTGTTAGCATAGCAACCTTTATGGCAAGAATTTTTGTTTGCTCATAACCATATAAATAGCAATGACCAGGGATCCATTGCAAAACAACGTATTTTTGATGAGACGTCAAAAAATATAGCAGCTGAATTCAGAAATTTTTCATTTGATAGTGGAAACATGAATGGATCTGATGAATTGAGTCAGACAGTAGAACTACATTTTTAAATGTACACGGATGACATGTTTGCTGTTTAAGAGTGTTGCGTATTGCCTTTACTTCCTGTTCAACGGCAGTATAGCTCTTTTCCAAAAAAGGTTTTGAATAAACACTGGCTCGGACAATCTGGTGTCTTAAGGACAGTGATCCACCCGTATATATTTGCAGACACTTATTCTTGAAATATTTTATCTCAATGGGATGGTTGATCGTGTAAACCTAAGCGAAGATGGCGTTAGGGGTAAAAATCCGTCGTAAGACTTTTGGGTTTCTATTTCCGACTGACTTTTACAACTACGATCGAAAAAACGCACCATCCACTATTATTATACTTGTAGTGTTTTCAATGAAACGCTTTAATCTAAATTTCAATGAAACAAACTGCAAAGGAATTCCGAAGACTGCGTTATAACTTGTGTTGAAAAAAAAACTTAATGTACCATGCACATGGTACCTCAATATTAGACTTGGATCTAATAATTACACTACTACACGTAGTGGTGAAAAAATTAATTCCTACAAAATTAAGTCAGAACAGTTTACTAAAATCTCAGAACATTATTAAGATTTCCACCACCACACTTGCGCATGCAAGATTATAATACCTTGACCCGTATGGGCCAGTATAAAAGTGTATGTCGAAATTCTCTAGAATGATTTTTTTTTTTATAAATAAAGCTACATGAGCCACGATAGCTCAGGGAATAGAGCGTTCGCCTCTCAATTTCGGCGAACAGAGTTCGAATTCCAGTCGTTACGAATTCCGCATCCGGATTGCGACAACCACAGTGTTGACGTGAAATATACTCAGTGGTAGGCGGATCATGGGTTAGAGTTCCCTTGTCGTCAATCTAACCGTGAAGGTTTTCGTGGTCTTCCTCTTCGTGTAACGCAAATGCGGGTTAACTCCACCAAAACGTCCTCCTCGAAGGCAAGTTTCTCCCATTCATTCATAAAAGTATAAGAAAAAGCTACATAGTTGAGAAAATAAATGAATTAAATCAATATAAAGGGAGGCAGAAGCAAGAATGCTATACTCACAGCATTTATTGAGCTGCTCAAAATCTAGTTAGAATCACAAGAAACAAATTTTAAAAAAAAACTTAAATAGGGCTAAAATCAGATACATGATGGGATGTAAGTGAAAAAAACTTTTGTAAAGTGAATCAAGAAAAAAATGTAATCGGATCGAAAGTGATTCCTATATCACTATTTCATCAAATATTCTAAAAAGACTTCACCATCCATTCCAAAAATTTTCGTCTCTGGGATCAATAGGATGGGGGCATCAGTCCCCTTGCTACGAGGAACTTTTTTCCAACTACGCAAACAACCACCTACTCCAAGCTCTTCAACTATGTTGCCACACATGGAACCAAATGGGAAAGTTCTACTAACGCAGTTTATCCACTGCGTATCCTTGATCCTCCGCTACATGGGCAGCCGGAATAATACTTAAGCACAGTCTAAATGGGAGGGTAGTCTTTTCTGAACGCAGTTTATCCACTGCGTATCCTTGATCCTCCGCTACATGGGCAGCCGGAATAATACTTAAGCACAGTCTAAATGGGAGGGTAGTCTTTTCTGTCTTATTGACTTAGGAAGACTTATTCTACGAGCGTAGCTAAAAGTTCAGTTCTTATGTGACAACAAAATGGAGGCTTTTTAATATATGTTACAATGAGAAACTTGCACCTCGAGAAGAAGAAAGCCTTCTATACTCACACATGTGACCTATGACGTCAGCACCAGCTAATCTTTATCTGTAAAATGGCGTATTAAAGCTGAGCTTAGTCTTTCTACATAAGTAAGAATGTTAATTAACGATAAGTTTAATTAAACATAGAGTCGTATCGTGCATCGAATGAGTTGAAATATAAGTCTGTCTCGTCTAATTCTTTTACTTAACTTAGATTTATTATGTGCATTTTATTGTAACCGTGATACTTCACTTTAGTGATTAATAGTGATAGTGTACTAATAGTGATTTTTTGCGTACCTGTCAACTTCGATGTATAAAAAGTTTGTTTATGATCGAATTGATTTCGTGCCTGTCTATGCGTTAAGTAAGAAGTATATAGTGAAAGAATATAGAAACAGTTGAAGAATTAATAATTAACAGGCTTGACTTGCGCGAAATGGAATAGAAAGAACAGTTGCTAAGTAAACATTATTTTTCGACAACCAATCAGGATTGAGATACCCAAACTACGTCACTTGCAGGTATCCCATTGCTGCATCTTGTTAGTCGTGCTTAATTGTATACAACCTTTCTTCGTTTCATGGTGGCACCAGCAAATTTTGTCGACATTTTATTGCTAATTAGAATTTATTTTCGATTAGAAATTTCATCTTTTTTTTTGAACTAGAGTGATAAAATATAAAATGGAACTTTGCGCCAGATGATTGTGCAAGTTCAAATCGCTTTTTAAATGTTGGAAGCAAAAGTTATTCCCAATCAAATTTTTGATCACTTTTCAATTTAGAATACCAGATATTGAATTTAAGAACAGAAAATTATTAAATTAAATCAAAATTTAAAAAAAAATAAAAGCATTAAAAACAAGAAAATATTTATCTCTATGTATTTTTTTACCTCACCTAAAACAAAAAAGTAGTGTGAAATATTATCGTTATATTCGGAATTTCTGTCGCATCTCTTTCGATAGTGCCGGTTTTTTGTTTTAGACGTGATTTTTTAAAAAAAGTGATTTTTTTATGTTTTAGTCCTCTCAGAAGATAGTTTTCGAAAAATAATTTATTTGAAAATTTTTTTTTACAAAAAGGAGGAAGATGCTTTGAGACAGTTCAGACAGGTATAATTCTGAGAGGTTTTAGCTGTAATAACATTCATTTTTCTCAATTTAGGCACTCAAATAAAAAGTTTTCGTATTGGAAAGAACGAAATATTCCGTATGTGAAGTCATTTCCTTTTATTGGATCTGTGTTAGATGTTGCGACAACGGTAAGATTTTTCTCGTATTATTTTAATTGATTAAGAAAACTTTATGCCTAAAATCCATAACTTTCAACATATTTCAGGAATACGGAATATTAAGTGTAAAAGTGAAAAAGATAGATTTCCATACGAAATAATAATGAATGAAATACGTTTATTTTAAAATTCTTATGGATTAAAATATGTAATTTAACATATTCTAATTCGAATTATGTTTTCTTTGTTAGCAATGTGATTTAATTTTCATTCTTTTAAAAATTCTAATCATTTTCAATCGGATTACTAAAAAAATAACATAATAAATAGCCTTTACTGAAAACACTCTGGCAAAAAGTTTTAAATATTTTTTACGTTGTTCGAAAGTTCCGAGCTTTCCAGTGCGTTGCCCTCCTCGGTCACCCGACCAATCATGTCTTGATTTTGATTTCTGGGGTCATATGAAAACACTGGTTTATGACACCCCTGTTGACAATGCCGAGGAGCTGGTTGCAAGAATCGCAGTAGCTGCCAGAGAAATTCGAGATATGCCTGGAGTATTGCAGAAAGTTCGGATGTCCATGCATCGGAGATGTAAGGTGTGCATTGTAGCCGGTGGCAGAAACTTCGATCACTTACTTTAACCCATGTACCTTATGCTTTTTTCAATACATTATTAAAACGATTCAAGAAAGCATTTCCGACCCCACATTGCTATATGATTTCGAGTAGTCAGGAAGCACCCTACCTCTCTAAGGAGTTCTGGTTCTGAAACGTTTAACTGAGACACCCTGTATATACATATATATATCGGTACAGAGAGAGATGATTGAAAGCAGGAAAAGTATTGAAGATTAATGAAAAGGAAAGAAGGAAAATTATTAATTAAAATAAATTTTTTTTAAATTATGATTTTTTTTTATTTATGGTAAAAGAGTTATGGAAAAGCCGGAAAACAAAATAATGAAAAGTTATAATCTCTTCATCGGCTCACACGATTACATCCGCAAAAAGGAGTGCTTTCTAATACTGTATCAATATAGCCAAAGCAAAATACAGTTCCGAATGTACAAGAATGTAATGAAATATTCGATCTTTCACCGACGTATTTGGTGTTTGACGACATTCACCGGTGAAAGTCAACAACCACCGATTTCGGTCNACAATCATACAAATCTTATTCATAACCGGATAGCACAGATATATATTGAATGGTGATTATTAGCACTATTTCACTCGACAAACAAATTAGTTTGGGAGCCGCCTTTTTCACAAGCAATTCGTTTGTCCTCTGGTATTTTTGTTTCTTCTACATTTAAATATTTATTTGTGGCACTCAACGGATATGTATTTCATTATCATCATTTTTGATAAGAGTTCTAAAAGTATATATGAATGCAAGTGATTAAAGAACACCTTGTATAATATTCTTAACTCTATTTTGTTGTATGTGGTAGTTACATAAAAATATTATTGAATCTAAATTACATTATACTATTGATATTATGACAAGCAAATGTAAACATTATTTTCTAATTTTATTATTTTTACTTGTGAATTAGTGTATAGAGTATAAAAATTTTATGAAAATTTTGACCGTTTAAAATTTTATTCACAGCCACTGCATGATCTTGAACTAGAGAGATATTTTTCTTTGGGCCCAATTTATGGGTAAGTAACTTTAATTTTAATTCTCTGCGCCTAACTACAATTCTTTTTCTTTTTTTCATAAACTGAACCTCCCCTTGACGACATTGGCTACCTCTACTAGGGGATTTTCCTAATTTTTAATTTTCAAGTCTTTTTCAATTTCATCCCATCATAATTGGTAGTTTTCACTTGACTTAATATGATTTCTAGCAGAGTACCTGTCCGCACACTCCACTCTTTCATCTCTGATGAGTCATCACCTCCTACATCAAAAAGCCTTCACGTGGTCTTTTATATGTAGTCCGTGCAGACTATTTAAAAAGTGAACCAGTTATGCGCATGTGCCCAAAACCTTTTATAAATGAAATTGAGAAAATTTATCATATATATTTGAGAATTGAATCTGTAGCGGTTGACAAGTGAATAAGACAAACCAATCATATTCATAAATAAAAAAAATTTTTAGTCATATATTTGCTACCACTTTCTTATTTTAACTAGATTTTGTATTTAATGACTCGTTCGGAAAGTGTATATCCTTTACAATGGTCTGATCGGACTACCTATAAAAAACCGTGTGGAGGCTTTCAGATATAGGAGGCGTTGGATGAGTCCTAGGACAACTAAGACTGATAGATAAAAGACTAGGATAAAAACTGATAGATGGATTAAAACGTGAGGCAGTCTGCGAATGGTGTATTTGTCAGTAAAACTGAGACACGATTTAGTTATTGAAAGAAATATAAAATTTAGACTAAAAAAACATGAAATTCAGATTGTAGTAAAAATATTGATTCTAGGGCGCAACTAGGTTTATATTTTAGAGGTGGAATCCTCCCGAGTCGAGGTTAGCTTTTGGTCCTTTCCGTTCTTTGGGAGTATTCCTGTAGAAATGGGGGGATGGCTAAATCGGGTTATCTGTTAAATTTATTCGAAAAGAAGACCCGTCTGAGAGAAGGAAATTTGTAATTGGATTATGACATTATGAATGAGTTCCTTGTTCAAGAAGAGATGGAAGTTGGCTGTAGTGCTCTCTTCAGGACTGTTAAAGAAGCTAGCGATATGTATTTTCATGAATTCTTAAATCACTTCTTTGTTAAGATCTTTTCTAATAAGTTTCTTTGGAAGGTACCGCTGTGCTCCCGTTATCCTTCTCATGAACTTATTTTGAATAGTTTCTAATTTCCTGATTACTACTGTTAAGGTAGAGCCAGCAGAATGTTCCACGGTGCTCATGTGATCCTTCTTAGGAACTTCTTTTGAATAGTTTATATATCCTTAGACTGTTCACTGTTTAGGCAGAACCAACAGAATGTTCCACGCTGCTCATGTGATCCTTCTTTGGAACCTATTTCGAATAGTTTCTATATCCTTAATCTGTTTACTGTTTCGGCAGAGCAAGCAGAAGGTTCAACGGTGTTCCCGTGATCTTCCTAAAGAACTTATTTTGTACATTTTCTAATATCTTGATCTGCCTACTGTTAAGGTAGAGCCAGCAGAATGTTTCACTGTGCTCATGTGATTCTTCTGAGGAACTTATTTTGAATAATTTCTAATTTCTTGATCTGTCTATTGTTTAGGTGGAACCAGCATTTTTTATAATATGTCTAATACAAGTAATATATGATAGTCTCTAGATTTAAGGGAAGCTTCGATCTTGTGTTTGGAAGTGGTCTTAAGCATGCGAAAGCTGCTTGTGCCTTCTTTTATAATTTTATCCCGTTATGTTTGTTGTTGACTGCCAAACCATGATAGTCAGCATTAGTAACAATCGGGATGGCATTTGAGACTCGGTCTCATATGAGTTTCATTTATTTTTTTTCTTATTATAAATATGAGCTTACATTTGTCAGTGCCCTTCGCAATTTTATTTTCTGCACACCATTTTTTCATGACTTGTATTTTGTCATTGAATTTCTTAATAGGTTGGTTGGTGGTCTTCTTTTACTAACTCGGAATCTAAAGGTTTTATGAATATTGATATCTTAGTCGCAGCATTATCCTCATAGCTTCTTTATCCATTGCTATTAATGACTTGGGTTATTTGTGGTAGTTTACAATGCTTGCTGTACAGTTTACAATAGTCTTGTATCTTGTTCCTCCTGCACTGTACAAACGAATGCTACGAGATCTTTTTCCCCAAACATGCTCAATAAATGTTGTAGGTATATATCGAAAGTCCATGTTTCTCTTGTATGAAGTAAGAGAGGTTATATCAGTGTCTTATATGTACCTAAAACAAATAACTCTACATCTATTGTTAAGGAATCGTCTAAAAAACCAGAGAAGTTTTAAGTTCAATGGACTATAGCCCTTAAAATTGCCCTAGTTTTGGTCCTGTTACGGATTATTCAAAGCTTTATCCGGCATGAATTTAATGGATACATTTAGTTGGGATGCCAAATTCGAAAATAACACTAGGAACTAGTCTAGTTTTTTTTTTTTTTTAATTTTTGGGACTTATCTTTAAAATTTTGTAGTTTTAGGAATTTGTTATTAAAAATATTCACGAAATTTAAAAAATGTACAAATTCCGAGTTTTCAGTATACCTACTCAATAACAAAATTCACATTTTTAAACATTTTTCTAAAATAAGTTGATATTCATATCAATATTATTAAAGATTTTCTAATGACACCAGTCTGGGTGTGATAAGCTTTTACAAAATTTCAATGTTTTTTTTTTCTTGAAACAACGCAGTGAATAATCACTGACTTGACAATTTCTTTAATTTTTAGCCCATTAACTTAATTTAACAGCGCGTAATTGTGTAACAAATTATTTATTATAAGGATTTATTTTTCAATTTCATTTATAGTTTTGCATTGATTAAATGATTATAAACTCAAATTTTGTAAAAGGCATTGAATTATTAAAAAAATATTTATCTTAATTTCAATGTTTGCACTACGATTTACAGCTGAGTCTCCATGAGCCGTTAAATTTTTTAAATTTTACAGAAGCATAAAGAAAATTTTTAATAAAAATTTCAGAAAACATCCACCCACATTCTGAAATAATACTTCTAACATATTGTTTAAACTGTATTTATAGTTTTTTTATGGATTGAATGATTATAACTCAAGCTTTGTAATTGACACTAAGTTTCAAAACACTTATCTACAATAGAGTTCCAATATTTGCACAAGGATTAACAGCCGAATCTCCGTTGGTGATAAAATTTTTTTAATTTTATAGAAGCATAAAGAAAATTTTTAATAAAAATTCAAGGAAACACCCACTCATATTCTACAGAAATATTTTTAACATATCATCTAACCATGTGCTTAATAAGAAAGTTTGAAAATTCTTGATATTTAGTCGAAAGCTATGTTTATTAAGTTTATTGTGTTCTTGTAATAACTTTTGTATTCATGCCATAATTTTGTACTTTGTATTTATGTCGTAATATTGTATTTTGTACTTATGTCATACTTTTGTACTTAGTACTTATGTCATACTTTTGTATTTTTATCATTGTATTTATGCAATTATTTTGTACTTTGTATTGAGTTTAAAATTTTTTTCAGCTCTTTTGAAGGTCATCGTCCTGTTCTAGTTGTAGGTGACCCAAAACTCATCCGAGATGTTTTTATCAAAGATTTCCCAACTTTTATAAACAGAAGAGTAAGTTTAATTCTTCTATAATTTTACTAGATGTTTAAAAATGCATGAAAATTATTCACTCAGTATAAATTAATTTTTATTCCTTATTTCCTGTATCACGTGTTTTAGTAGTTCATACTTGTGCAAGAGAGCATTATTTGTGTCACATTAAAGTTTCTTGAAAATTTTAAAGAAATCAATACAACAAAAACTACAATACCTCTTCGAATTCGATGTCGAAAATTCTTAAAATTGTGAGAATGAATATTTTATTTCAAGTTATCACTGAATCAAGCAATCATAGAGAAAAATTGTCTGAAACAAACTTCTTTCAAAATTTTTGATCCCTAATGAAGCAATGTATAGAATTTCCAATAGGTGTTCCGCGGAACCTTCGAGAAAAAGACCCATTTTTATTCGGCAGAATCTCAAATTTATAAGGATGTATTCTTTCTTTTTCTCATAAAAAAATTATTTAAAGTATCTATTGATACAAAGGTATATAATAATATCTATTTGATAGGCCGGGATAGTCTGGTTGGTAGGGCACTGGGCCTATGTGTTAGAATTCGTGTGTTCGATCCTAGGCAGGCCGAAGACTCCCCGTGTAGTAAATGGTGACTGATGCACGTTAAATCTGTCAAGTCGCGAAGTCCCCCATGTTCCCATAACAAATAAATATCTCTGGGGCTATTGATCCAGGAGTTTCCTTGTCTTCTGGATTGGGCTCAAAATTACAAGGTTGCGGAATTGAATATTAGTAGTCGTAAACCCAAAAATTGGGTCGGCTGCTCAACGAGGGGTATAAAATAAAAACAAAATATCTATTTGATACAATATCATTATCCAAACATTTTGGGAAACATTCCTTAGAAACTATGATAGTTAGATTTAAAATAGATTCATTTAGCTCCGCATTCATGTTACTATTTGGCGAATAGGCAGTTAATATTTGTTCAAAGTTAATGTTAGTTTTATAGGTTAATAATAGTTAAGAGTTAATATTAGTTTTATAGGTTAAAAGCTATTAATGGTCAACGAATTGAAAGAGAGCTAAAAATGAAAGTTATATTTCTGTATTTAACGACCTTAAATGCTATGAGCAGGATGCAGTAGATAGAAGAGCAAGGGTAATAAATTCCTCTCTTTTTTAAACTAGTGTAAAGAAAACCTGTTCTCAAATAAGAAGATAAGTTGTAAAAATGTCTAAACGAATTAGGTGTTGAAGTGTTGTAAAACGCTAAAAATTGTGTGTTTTTAAAAGTTCTGAAAGAAGCGAATGTTTTTACACACTTTAAAGCATGTCATGAAATCTAAACTCTAATCTAATGAATGAGAAAACTTACTCCAAGATGACATGCACTTACTCCATTGAAGAATTGTTTTCACCAAGTTTGGCTCAAATTTCAAAATAAATAGACGATCGATATTTTTAGTTTACTATAACGTACAGAAGGTTCACGTACAGAAATTTCGCCTCGCACGTTGCTGAATATTATACAGAAACACAAGTAAATTGTTATGTATGTTTGTAGTTGAACAAAAAACATAACGATATTCTCATAAGTTCGTCCCCCATACATAAATCTTTTGAATAAATTCATAATGTTTGATATCAATTCATTTCAGTTTATTTAAGTCTTATTCATATTCACATTAATATTCTCCCTCTATGTTGTGTATTTATTTTATTAATAAATTAATTTTATTTTAATATACAATTATTTGTATGCATCCTTAATTTTTATTTTAATATACACCCATTCTTAAGTTAAATAATAAAAAATAATAAATATGCACTAAAAGTTTTGTTTTTTTGTTTTTTGCATGGAATTGTCTTTGAATAAATGAATTTTATAATTGTGTGTAAAAATGTAATGCCGGTGTTTTATGCTGTACTTTCCAACAATTAAATATTTAAATGCTAAATATAATAACATTTTTCACTTATTTTGACATAAATTAATTCAAAATAATGAAAAATATGCCCAATAAAAAGTCTGAGTCAAATCACGGATTTGCGTGCTTTAATTTTCCAAACCACATTTAGACACCGACTTCTCAATCAGTTTTAATCAGCAATGTAAATACTATATCAAAGTAGAATGTGAAGGTGAGGATAAAGACAGTACATAAATACATTTGTTTATAAACAATGGGGTCAAAAACACTCTAAGTATTTCTTGATTAAAAACTTCCTTTCCTTCAAAAATATACAAAATAGAAATAACAGTCCACATGTTTCAAGCGCTCAAAAATACACTCCCATTTTCAAGACTTGCCAGAGAATGAGAAGAAACAAAATGATTTTATTGGCAACGATCTTTACATTTCCTTGTTCTAATCACTTTTGATTTTTTACATTCCCTTTGGAAAATTTGCCATAGGATATTACTACGGGGTTTTGCCTACGGTAAATTTTTGCCACGCACTTTTGCCATATACGTATACCAAAATTTTGCCATACATGTCAGGCAAACATTTGCCGTACGCGCATGGCAAAAATTACCATATACGTATGGCAAAATTCTGCCATACATGTATGGCAAACTTTTGCCATACGTATATGGCAAAAGTGCAAGGCAAAATTTTACCATAGATAAAATCCCATAGGAATATCCTATGGCATTTTGTTGTATGGCAAATTTTTGCCATAAAACTAAGAAAGTTTTTCCATATGCTATGGTACATCTTTATCATACAGCTATGGCAACATTTCTCATTGATATTTTACTATAGAATTGCACATAAAAAAATAATTACCATTTAATTACAAGAATCTTTTGCAGCTATGGATATTTAAAATGCAAACTTATGATCGTTGAATAAATATATATAGCAGCTTGGAGTAAAAACTTTTGCCAAGCAAAGCTTTTTTTTTTTTTTTTTTTTTTTTTTTTTTTTTTTTTTTTTTTTAGATTCACACTTGGCAAGACTTGAAAATGGAGACTATTTTTTAGCTCTTGGAACATGTCGACTGTTATATCCATTTTTATATGCTTTTGAAGGGAGTGAGGTTTTTAATCAAGTTATATTTTACCTCTCCAGTTTCTTATGATTATTTATTGAATACTATATTTGTGCGCGAAAAGGCAATAGCACAAAAGTTGTTTTGATAAAAGGGTAACTTTGACCAGCAACAAAATTACATGAAAATTAAGATATTAATATCCGAAAATCATATGACTCTATTATCTATAATAGGTAACACAAATCAAAATAATATGAGCATTTTACCAACTATTACTATATTACTAAGAACTACATCGATCAAAATCACTAACGTTCTTAAGTTCTTTGTTCAATAGTCACTTTACATATTAATTATATTCACACTAACGAACTATCACTAAATCAAAACCCTTCCAGATGGTCTTAATATTGCCACCATTTCACCACATGCCTTAAATTTTTAAAAACCTTTCAAAGTACAATGACGTAACTGTTTTTCGCAAGATCCATTCGTTTCAACCCCCCTTTTTTTAAATATAGAACGACTACGATATCTTCAGTTAACTATATTTATATATTTTTCCTGACCATGATTCCCCCTTAAAAACCTTTTAAAAAAATTGTAAGAAAATAGAGCTTTAGCTAAATTGATAGCTACTGTCACTGACTTATTAGTAATTGTTTAGTAAATCAATATGAAAACGATAAAGTGACTAGTTGCACTGTAAGAAATGAAAGGATCTGATTGGATCTGGTAAGCTTGTGGTGTAATCAGCGTACTTGGTTCAAGTACCGAAGTTCATGTTCTGGCGAACCTGTAAACTTCAAAGTACCCTCAATGTATTTTTGTCTCCTTAATGAACTGAACTGAACCATCGTAAAACTTTCTCATATTGTGATTGCTTCACGTCTATTCTTTTGTTTTTACGTCTTCGATTAATCTTGGATGTAATTAATTTAGTTGTTAAAATTTCATTTAAGTGACATTTAAATTTCGTAATTTCGTATTTTGTAATTCTTTTTTTATCTTTGGCGGCTGACTTAACTAAAAATGTAGAATAAAACACACGCAACCGATTCTCAACAAAGATAATTGGTAACCTTCGGACGTGATGTGAATATGCCTACCTTGACAGAAACTCCCACTTTGATATGAACACTCCTATCTTAACAGTAACGCCCACTTCGATTAGAGCACGCCTACTTCAATGAATTGGCCACATTGAACAATTGACTTGCTACTTGTGACTGCGACATCATCCACCTCCTCGAGCTGTTGCTACTCAGTCTCGATCTCACGCAACGTCGGCCTGCATACACTGCACTGATAAAGGCAACAGGCATGGCCATGACCGTGAACTTAATACAGCTCTCTCGATCAGCAAAAAATACAGTGATCTTAATACAGCTCTCCCGGCTTCTCACAAAAACAGCAACGAATCAACTAGTGGTATCCGCTCATCCAATTCTATCACAGATATAATTCTGGTGGGGTATACTGTAGTGTACCTACCACTACAGAAATACTATTCCCTAGTATATAAGACATGGTAACTCGATTCTATGTTAGGGTGCCTTTTTATTGACATACCCTCCAATTGCTACGGAATATCCGTAGTTTCAGAAATCTTCTTTTCAGACGGTAGCAAAATTAATGTCTTAATATTTAAAAAAAATTAATTTTAGCGTAACTTGTCCACTATTACTTATAAAAGTGCAGGCCATATGGCTAAATTCTTAAGTTCTGATAAAAGTTTTATGAGAGATCCATTTGCTTTAAAAATTTCTACTTTGGTTCGCTACCACTAGAAAGAATTATTTTCAAAATCCTTATAAGTTGGAGGGTATGCATTGATGAAGGTTGACATAGTTGATAACTACTCCCCACAAGTTTTACGAAAGCTGAATCAACTGTAGAAGGGTTACATCAGAGTTAGCAGTAAGCTCCACAATTCTATACCCCCCTCATCTTAATTACTTTTTAATAATTTAGTCTTTTTATTTTCATCTTTAATTTTCTAGGTCTAATCCGCATTTTAATTCTTGCCATTTACACCGGCGCTTTTAGCTTCCATTGATTTCATACTTGCCAATTCTTCAGGATTTTCCAGAAGATTTTATTTTCATATTTAAAGTGGTAGCAATACTCAGGTTATTCCAATTAACTTTTTGAATTATAATGATAATTCTAAATGAGTCTGGCCACCACTACATATAAATAATTACAATAAATATACCAAAGCATAATAATCTTTGCGCAAGCGAATTTCAACGGGATCAAAATATAAATAAATTTTCGAATCAGATTGTTTTTCGTTTATTGTTTTACAACCACTCTGAAAATCCATTCTCGGAAAGATTGAAAGTTGGCAGGTATGTGATTTTAAATTACGTTTTTCATTATCGTATATGTCAGCTATTTCACTTTTAGCTTGCATTGACTGTTAGTGATTCTAATGCTTCACTGACTTGTTCTGTTGCTACTAGGCTACTTAAGCAAACATGTTTCCCTTGATTATTTTGTGTAACAGAAAGTGACCTGTATTAAATACGGTGATATGATCTCAGATCTCGGGGTTTCAATCATAATAAACGCCTTTTAACATTATATATATTTAATAACAATAAGGATGATGATAATGGTGCAGTGTCATGGAGGAAACTGATTAGAAAACTAATGATTTTACATTACTGCGCAGAGCGCCATCTATTGAGTTTTAGAAATTATAATTAATATGGAGAAATATCATTAACAGCCTGACCTCTCTACTGATGTATTGGAGCAGATACCTTAAAGCTATTACTCATAATAATTTACTTGGACGCGAACTCGACTTCTTTCAAACTTTTGATGTATTTGATTTGAATATTTTATTTTATTGTCTTCGTTTGCCGTTCACCACCACTGTCATTTGGCAAGACTCTTTTTTCTAGTCAAGGAACTAGCCAAAGATCACTTTGCCTCAAAAACGTTAGCAGGGTGCACCACGAGGAGGTAGATCTATATTGCACCCCTACGAACTGCTATGGACTGTTATGTTTTTCGTTTCTTTATGTTCTTATTTGTCCCACCCTTTTGTTGCGTAAAAGTCTTTCTATACCTCTGGCTGTTAGTAATATTAAAAAAAAATCTTTTGTAGTTAGAGTAGAAGTGATACTTCCGGTAAACATAAAATTTGGGATTAAATAATTTAGCGGAATAAATTCACTTGTTTCAATTAATAGTAGCACTGATAGAGTAATATTATGGCAGCCGAAGCAATACCACTATCCGTTATCAGTTTCTCTTGGTTCATAATCGGCAGCATACCTGTCTGTGAAAAAACTGTGGCAGAATTCATATTTTATTGTTCCACCACTACATTATCTTCATTTTATAAGTCGTAAAAAGACTATGGCAGAACTCATAATTTATTGTTCCACCCCTACATTATCTTCAATTAATTTCAATAAACGTTCATAAAGTCTTTTAAGGCTGGTTAATCACTTAAGTCTACAATGTGTAGAGACACTTCCGTTCGTACGATCAAGATTTAATTATAGACTAAGTCAACTTTCATCTATCATAAGGTACCTCTCGATAAAATCGACTTTTAAATGTCTTATATACTAGTGATTCAGTATTTAATATTTATAGTGGTAGTTAAGCCACATTACTCCACTTGCAGAATATTATCTGGGTTAGAATTCGATGAACGGATACCACTAGTTAATTCATGCTGTTAATTTATTTGTAACATTTTTGCTCATTATATATATTTTTTCTTCATAGCATTTCGCTAATTTTTTTTTTATTTCTCCGATTTGTCTTTGCAGTTTTATATTACGCTAATCAACTGTTTATTGTGGACCATCTATCATGTTAATGAGTTCTGATCACGTCCGCACGTCACCAGTGAAGGGATATATTTTATTGTCTAGTGTCAACATTTATCTATCACAAAGTACCTTTGGATAGAATCATGTTAATATATTATATACTACTCATTCAGTATTTAATATTTATAGTGGTAGTTACGTCACAAGCTATTAGCTTCTTGTAGCAGAGAAAATACTATTTTTCGCTAAATATCATGATTTATTTAACTAAATCAATTTTTTTCTGTTTATTTAGAGTTTCTTTACTGGGCTCAAAAATTTCGATCTATCTATTTTAGTAAACGAAGGAGAAGATTGGAAGAGAATTAGATCCATCATCAGTCCTGCATTCTCAATAAGCAAGCTTAAAAGAGTAAGTCGTTCAAATCGATTGCAAGGAACTTTTGTTATTTAAAAAATATTGTAATGGATATAATTGAAATAAACTCTATATTAAAAATATCAGCAAAGAATATAGAATATGTTAGTAGTCTCCTTTCCCATCTCGCTTAACTCTCCCTAGCCCCCAAAGAATACTGTCTGGAATTACCCTTTAATTGGGTACTTGCACTTCAAGAAAAAAAAGATCTCCCACACTCACACATGTGATCTATGACGTCAGCACCAGCTTATCTTTATCAGCAAAATAGCGTATTAAAGTTGAGCTAAGTTTCTCTACAGAAGTTAGGAAGTGAAAGCTGTATCGGACATCGAATTAAATGGAAAACAATTCTTTCTAGTATAATTCTTTTACTTAACTTAGATTTATTATTTTTTTTTATGTATTTTATTGTAACCATGATATTTTTTTCTATACCTGGAAACTTCGATGCATAATTAGATTTTTTTTATGTTCGACATGACTTCATGCTGTCTTTCTGTTAAGAATCTGTGTAAATACATAAATATTTTATTTTATTACTGTTGTTGAACAGCCGACCCAATTTTTGGTTTCACAACTACTAATGTTTAACTACGTAGCCTTGTAATTTTGAACCCAATTCAGAAGACAAGAGAACTCCTGGATCAAGTATTGGGAGAAATTTGCCTCCGCGGAGGCTTTTTGATGGCGCTAACCGCATTTGCGTTACATGGAGAGGAAGACCACTAGAACCTCCCACGGTTAGCCTGACGGCAAGAGGCTCTAACCCAATATAGTCTACCACTGAGGATATTTCACGTCAGCACTGTGGTCAGTGCAAGGCGGATGCGGAATTTGTATCGACCAGCCCTCGCCGGGATTCGAACGTAATTGAAAGGAGAACGCTCTGTGTAAATATATAGTAAATAATTGAAATCTTTGAGAATGAATCTTTGGGAAAGAATTTAGAATGTGTCGTTTAAGAGAATGGGTACTTGACGAGCGTGGTTTACTCGAAATAGAATAGAGAGAACAGTTGCTAACTTAAACAAATGCCACGTTTCAGCAACCACACATGACAGGTATCAAATCTCCCACTTCACTGTTTAAATATACTGTGATCTGTCATACTGAGCCCAACACATGGTAGTAATATATAGAGTAACTGTCAATCATGGTAATTACCCAAAGAATAAAGCATTTTTAGTTTTCTTATAAAGATCACATGATCCAAATGGTCACAATCTAATTGGAAATGAAGAATTAGTGAAGGAATAATGCATGATTTACAATTCTAATCATTTTTATCTGGTAACGACGGGTGTTTCTCCTCTGAAAGCAATGCTTTTCTTTTTGTTCTACTCAGATTAACGATATGTGAATAATTTAATGAGAAAAGTCTTGCTTTGTAACTTATTTTATTTTGAAATATGCGTCAAGCAATTTCGCTCTTTAGATAACGTTCACACGAGCATATCAATACAGTTTCTTATGTGTGGAATAGCTTTTGAAAAATAATTTTGTTCAAAAGGAGAAACATTTAGATTAATAGTTGGTGTGTGGCGTGATTTTAAATCATTGGCTAAAGAGTGGCGATTTGTCCTTGTGGAATATGGCAGCCGGTCAACATCTCCTAGAAAAGAAAAGGCTTCCGCGCGGGTAACCATAAACGATAAATCCAATCGTTTAATAGTCTGATCGTTATGACATAATTCGTATTACGATCCCACTGCGCAGTTTATGTTCTTTACGTCAGACTATTAAATAGGTCCATGCAGAGGCTTTCCTTCTTATGGAAAATGATGAGCCAGTCGACATATAATCAAGAGCTTACTAATCAGAAATAGGATTCACCCATCACCTCCTACATCAAGAAGCCACCACACAGTCTTTTATAAGTAGTCCGCGCAGACTGCTTAAAAAACGAACTAGTTGTGCGCATGTACCCAAAACCTTTTATAAAAGTAATTGAAAGAAATTCATCTTATATATTTGAGAATTGAATCTGTAGTGGTTGACAAGTGAGCCAAGTTAGACAAGCCAACAAGTTAGGCAAGCCTATAGTATTCATAAATAAAATAAATTTTTAGCCATATATTTGCTAACACTTTATTTTTTTAACTATATTCTGTATTAAATGACTCGTACGGTAAATGGATATCCTTCACAGTGGTCTGATCGGACTACCTAAATAAAAAACCGTGTGGAGGCTTTCAGCTATAGGAGGCGTTGATTCACCTGATGGAAGAATAAAGGTCCTGAATCTATCCAATAACTATCTAATCGAGACTTTATTATCATACGAAAAACGTGGTGCAGATTTCTGTTGCTTATTGGAATAAATCTGGGGCGCATATTCTTGAACCCCCCAACTATTTTAGCTTTTTATTGTAGAGCATTAAATCTCGTGAACTTGTTTGAAATTGATTGAACACGATTTCCCTCCAATTTGATGACACAGAAGCCAGAATCTGCTATCATGAACCCAACACACGAACTTTTGCAAAATGTCATTTGAAATTTTTTTGATCTTGCAAGTTTTGGTTCATGTACTTTTCTTTTTACAAAGACATCATAGTGGGACATTTACAATATCATCCTACAGCTACAGCATATATTATAACTATTAATAAAATTATTTGTGGTGCTAATTTGAATTGTATTTTGTATTGTCAGTTTATGAATAATTTTCCCTCTAGCTTTTGGGAATATTCAAAGAGTGCTCCGAAACATTGGTTCAAAATTTCAAAATATCTGCCCAAAAAGAGGAATCAATATCTGTGAGAAGGTAAGGTTTCTATAGACATCTTTCTATGTGTACATAAATTCTAGGGCCCGCTTCTTAATTTTGGCACGCAGGAATATTTCCTGCGTGCCAAATCGCGGGATCGCGGGCAAATTTAGAAATTAGAAAAATTGAAGCAATTTCAGCGAAAATATAAAAATCCAATGTCTCCATTTCTCTACATATTAGTAATAGAGTCGTAATTAAATATGTTTTCTAATTTCTAATTTTGCCCGCGATCTTTCTTGAGCCAAAGTCAATGAAATCGTACAGCGATTTTCAGTTTCATGTAATGTCACTGCTCATTTCTTGTAAAATTGAGATTTATGGATAGGATCGGAGTTCTTTCTCCAGAGGAGATCATTAACTTAAAATGTTTAATTTAATTAACTTATGAAAAAAAAATTTTCACTTCAGGGTTGTTGCAAAATTTAATCAAGGAATTAAGAATAGTGACTTTTATCGAAGTTAGTTTCAAATTTTACCTTTCGATTTTGTAATCTTCTGTAATCTGTATATATATATATATATATATATATATATATATATATATATANTGTACTTGATAACTAAATATTTAATATAACAAAAGTAAATTAGTTAGGACAAAAACAACAAATATGGAATATAGCGAACAGAGAAGAACGTCTCTTCTCTTCAAACATCAACATCGTACATTACATCTCGTTACTCATCGTCTATCGTCAATACTATGCGAATTTGACGAGGTCTTATTTCTGGAATTAAATATTTTTTCATAAATTTTAAGCTTATCTTTAAATTCCGAGATAGTCTTACATTGATACAAAATAATTTTGTTTTGATTAGAATCCGGTATATCATTAATAGTATGTTCAATAATTGATTGTTCGTCTATCGTAAAGTTACTTTTAGAGGCGATTTCGCGCATCGCTAAAAAATATTCAAACAAAGTTTCTCTATTTCGCAATTTTCGATTCTGCATTTCTTTATGTACTTCAAAAGAAGTTAATTGATCCGAAAATTCCTTGAATAAAGCGTTCTTTAATTCAGGATATGAGAAAATATTTTTTAAAGTATGGAGGAATGTTAAAGCGGATCCCTTCAGCAAACGCTTAACACAGATTATTTTTTTAGCATCCGTAATGTTTCTAACAAAAGTAAAATTTTCTTCACAGTTGGCAAAAAAAGATTGGATTGAATAGTTGTCGGTACCTTTAAATTGCCTCATCGTTAAAATAAGTTCACGCAAAATTGAATAATTATCATCTTTTGTGAACACGGAAGTAGAAACAATCGAAGAAGCTAATTTATTCCCCTCAAGGTAAGTTGAAGATTCAATTTCGGTTTCACATTCATCCTCAGTTAATGACTCAGAGATGGAATTTGTAAGTGTTTCCAAATCGCTTAATATAGCAAAAATATTTTCACATAATTCCGCAGCAGTACCGGTACATTCTATTCCTAAACTATTGCAAACTATGATTAATTGCGCTGAATTTAATTCTTGTAATACTTTATCATTTCTTTTAACTATATCCGTTTGAGGGGGAAATCCCGAAAAAACACGTAATTTTTTCCTTGAATTTCTATCATATTCTTCATCAAAAATGCATTTAAATAGTAATTTCACGGTAGATGAATGTGCAGTTTTAAGAAAGATTTTCATAATCGGTATTTCATTCAAAGTAATCATGATGACAATTTATAAATTCAAAATAGAAGAAATCTGAACAAACTCACCGGTTTGTTGTCGTCTTTCTTTTTCACTTCAAATAATCAGCTCTCTTTTGCTGATTTTTAGTACAGTTATTATTATTTTTTCTTTTAGAAGATAATTTCGTTATCGATAGATATCCAATTCGAAACATTGCTTTAGGTTTACAGTCTAGGGGAGGGTTAAGGAGGCCGTGCCCCCATTTGTTAGTATTTGAGTGGTAAATAAGTACATGTACTTGGTAACTAAATATTTAATTTAACAAAAGTAAATTAGTTAAGACAAAAATAACAAATATGGAATATAGCAAACCGAGAAGAACGTCTCTTCTCTTCAGACATCAACATCGTACATTACATCTCGTTAATTATACATCGTAATAATCTCGTTACCAGATCGTCAATGTCTTTTCGTTTATAACAATATAATCTGGTGATCAGTTATCGCCATCTAGCGGCGTTTATGGTTATGTTCAATTACATGGCCTTAACACACACATACACACACACACACATATATATATACATA